TAAGGAATACGAATTGAAAGTAATTATGATATGCTTGATGTACATGATACTATTTATGATCATAAAACTATTCATGAATATTTATTGATCAAATTTGATGCATATTTGAAGTCTATAAAACATGTTCTCAATGAAACAATAAAAGAGCATTGTTTGGCAGCAACATGTGATCTATAGATCGATGTTTTTATTAAAAGAGTATGAATTAAAAGATTGTTTGTTGTGATGCCAGTATTTCAAAGAAGAATAAAAAAAAGAAGCAGTGAATGGTTGAAGGATGGGTGTAAGTAAAATGCATACTTCTCTTTCAAAAATCATTTGATGAATTTTCAGTTAAACTTATATTTTTTTTTATATTTATTAAAAATCACTTTTGATTCATTCAATCTATATTATAGCGATACACTCATAACTACTGATTCTGGTGCAAACATAATTACTGTATTTAAGATTACCAATGAAACAAGATTACTTTTTTATGATTCATCGATGTAAATACAGTGTTGGAAACAGCTTGGGATGAAACAACAAAAAAAAACATCAAGATTTCAGAGTTTCTTGCAATTGTGTAAAAGATTTGAGAAGGTTTTATTAATCAAAACAGTGGAAAAAAAGATAAATTACTAAAACCAATTAAATATAATAATAGAACTCGTACATAGAAATTTTATTTTACAGTGCACGATTCGTTGAATGCTTCTTTTGAAGCATTAATACCAATTTCATATGCACGTTACGAATAATATCGTATTTATTATATTTATACGGTTTATTGCTTGATATTGTTGATTCAATGACACAATTCGCATTAATATTTAATCATTTAGAATTTCCTAATCGTTCAACACTGCAAAATATGTAGTTCTAAATTATTACAAGATGATCAGTTACTGTCAAATCAAAGCAAGTCCACAAAAAAAAGATAAATAATCAACACATCGAGATCTGAAGTATTGAAAGTCTTTATCGATAAATATTGGTCTTCTATTACACCACTACATTGGATTGCAACGTATTTTGAATTAACATTCAAATCTTCAATATTTGTGGATAATAGAAAAGACCGAGAAAAACATCATAATGAGATACAAACAGGATTGCATGTGTTAGCTAGTGACTTATTGATAAATTTTGATAATGATCAACAAATATTTCACCACCTCAGAAAAAACACAAAAATGATTCTTTTGCTGATATTCCTCAATAAGTGGTAGCAAATCAATCTTCATCCTCATCAAAAATAACTTTGCAATTGTTAAACAGCGAACTTGATCGACAATTTTGGTTATATAACAATATAACATACAATAATAATCCATTGTCATATTGGAAACAATAACATAATTATTTACCATTGTTGGATAAAATAGTTATATCAATTTTGGCTATACAAGATAAGATGTTCCTTTGACATAAATGTTTTCTAGATTTAGTGCCACAGGGATGAGGTAAAAGTTATATATATCATTACATTTAAACCTTATATATTACTTGCAATTATTTTTCATACATTTTAGCATCATCTAGTGGAAGTGAATGACATTTCTCCACTGCTGGAAAAATAGAGGCTGACCAACGAAGTATTCTTGGTTCTGATTGTGTCAAATGAAGACTCGCAAACCACCGAGTTACATCGTGTTGCCACGAAGCGAGCGACGATTTTCTACGGCAAGGCGAGGATGAGACAATGTGAGATTTGACGATTCGCTTTGTTTCCTTACGATTCATCTATCTTGTCTTATCAAATGTTGCTCGATCACTTTATTCAATTCTAGCAACTACAGCTAATATTGAACGTCAGTTTAGTGCCGGTAGTTTGATGGTCAACTATAGATGTATCCGATTAAATTTACAACAAGTAAACAACGCATTATTTATGCGTTTAGTAAAAAAAACAAATGATAGTTTTTCATCTTGTTCTCATTATATTTCTTTGTGATTTGTTTTGTGAATCTTTTCATATGTATGAAATGTACTTTATTTGATTTAATGAAGTAAAAGAAGTAATGATTGTTACATGTAGTTGAAAAAAATGTCTAAAAAGATATCTTTTTCTGGAACTCACGTGTTTTTTTTTTGAAGAAAATAGTAAGTGGAATTTTAAGTCGAAGTTTTGCGACTTCCCTTCCGCATTACAAACTTTAACAACCGAGGACAACAACATTAGTTTCCTTTCTTAGAGTTCTTTACTAGCAGAAAAAGAAGGTGAACGGCATTAACAACAAGACTTAGTCTGTTTTAGATTATTCTAGAATATTTCAAAGTCTTTCTCGAAACTTGAACGGCTGGAATATGTTTGTGATTGTTTGAAATGGTGCAGTTTTTGATTTGTGCGCAGATAAAAATTTATATCCAAGATGTCAAGGATGATTGGTAGCGTACAGTAATTTGCCACAGTCCTCATATGATCAATATAGAAATCATGAAGCGATCAAATTATAACTTTAGAAAATATCAATATCATTGTTTCTGACCCTATCGAGATATATAATAATGCGTTAAAACATGCTCATAATTATCGCATCAACAAGATATGAAAGAGAGAAAAAAAACAGAAGAAGAAAAGGAACGATAAAAAAACCATCTTTGATTATAAATCTAAAAAGTTTGGATGAGATAAACACAACAAAAAAGAAAAACATCATCGTGAAATAAAGTCCATTTAACAGGTTAAAGAAAACAATTCGTATAGTTCTTTTAAATAACCTTTTATTATTATTGACTTGATGGAGCTGAATGAACTTGTTGTTGTTCATTATTCTGTTAATACTGAAATGATTCTGGACATCCATCACTATAATAATCAAAACTGCCACCCCGATTAGCTAGAATAATAATTTACATGGGTGATGATAATGGTAAACAATTGAATTGTTATCGTTTACTTTAATAGTTGCGATTAGGTCCACCTTCAGCACAATTATTGTTCGTATTATGTTGTCTTTGTCCACCAGCATAGTAACTATGAGCATAACCATTACTTGAAATAAAAGACAAAATATATAAGAATATTATGCTCTCATTGATGCATAAACTCAAAAATGCAAATGTTAAAAATGTATAATGTTCTCATAGATCCATATTTCTTTGCATAATTCTACCCGAAAACTCGAATATTTTCTGTTTAATTTTCAGTGTAGAACAGAAACTTTATTAGAAAAGATACTAACTATTGAATATTTTCATTTAATAAAAATAAATTATATTTGTCCTACTTATTGATCCCATTCGTCCCACTAAATCGAGTGATAACTAATATTATAGTTAATCCAATAAAATATTCAAAAGAAAAGCAATACATTGAAAAGATATTACATTCACAAAAATGATTATATTGAAAAACGAAATAACGTGAAATAAAAAATGACAATATTAGTTATAAACTATTTTACATTAAGCAAACATTGCAATAAGTCAAATATAAAATTTTGATGAGATCGTTATAGGAAAAATTCAATTATGTGATGACATTGTTTTCAGATCGCTGAACAGAACAAGATATTTATCATAATCTGAAGTGATTCACATATAATTCGATTAAAAAAAAGAAGACGAATTTATTTATTGTTTGATCTTATTAGAAAGTATGTGTTCATATTAATTAGTGTTTTTTAAAAGAAAACAAAATGTATCATAAAATCTATCTTCTAATATTAAGTTTAATCTGACTGAAAAAGACTGTCAAGATTAACCTTTACTTTTGTTTTTCTTTTTGGCTATGAAATTAGTTCGAAAATAATTATAAATCGGCTGATGTATTTTTTTTTCTTATTTTTGATAGCGAAACAAAGTTTTCGATATCATATTTCTCAAATAAAAACTTCAAATTGTACACAAATATGGTGACATTGAATCTCTTGAAAAGTCCACAGCTAAATTCTTTTTTGCAATATTGATTATTTTTCAGACGAAAAACAACAATTTTAACATTGCAATTCCTTTGTAGTAGAACATTGATTTGAGAAAGATCATCAATAAATATTTGACCACTAACGAGGGAAGTCTCTCAATTGATTAATCGCTTTGTAGTCGAGACAATATGCATCATGCAGATTCTAATAACTTATGAATATCTTGAAAATAGTTTGAGACTTTAGCTTATTGCTGCTAAGATACCGCATTTTTATGCTCTCTTTAAGTCAACGCCATGATCTTTCTTAGGAACACAAGGAATATTAATTTTCAAATTTTGACTTGAAAGCTTGTATAGAGTCAAATCTTAACAAGAATGTTTTATTGTATAAGCTTCCGATTTTTTGATTTGCACTTTTCTTGAAAATAAGAGGATGTGGGTGGGTGTGGGTGTGGGTGTGAGTGTGGGTGTAGGTGTGGGTGTGCGTACGGACCTGTGAGCATGGGTATGGGTGTGGGTGTGCGTACGGACCTGTGAGCATGGGTATGGGTGTGGATGTCGGTAGACACACACCTACACCCACACCCTAATGCACCCATCCACTTGAGCAATCTACACAACGATTAATTTGAGAAAAAACAGTACAAAGTCGCTTCTGTTTTCTAAATTCACCCTTTTGCTATTTCTTTGGATGACTCACGCCTCATAGATGAAAGACGTGAACAGAAGATAAGTATCGCGACGTGCGAGAGGAAGAGATAATGATGTGTCTTATCTTTACTGTGTATGTGTGCGACATGATTTAATCATTTCAGCCTTGGTTGCGTGAAGAGAGTATGTAATGCCTTCTCGGAGTCAACATAGTGTGAACGATGGTGGAACATCACATGACGGCACTGATAGTGGATGCTCTGATTCTTCAAACTCGCACAGAAGTCAAGCTCCAAATGCATCATCCCGATTACTACCGCCCCAGAATGAAACAAAATCCTTTTTTGGAAAGATCAAAGATCGTCCTGCTCCTGTTGTAGCAGTATTCTGTCTCGGTGCCATTATTCTAGCCGTTATAGTCACGTGCATTGTTGTATTTAGCAAGAATCAAAACCAACCAGTAACAACAAAAATGATCATTACAACCACGACAATGATGACAACAACAACGACAACAACAACAACACCGACAACAACAACAACAACAACAACAACGACGACGACAACAACACCAACAACAACAACAACGACAACAACGACAACAACAACAACACCGACAAC